AAAAAAAAAAATTGTAAAGAATACATAAAATTTTAAAAGGGTTAGATAAGAAAAAATGCTTATAACATACATTTATAAATATCTGTAGCGTACAAAGAGCTCATATAATAAAACCACAAAAAACTGAACAGAAAAATTGGCAAAGGATATAAATAATCATTTCAAAAAGAGCCTACAAATATGAAAACGACTGCAGAAAATGCAAACTAAGTTACATCTGGCCAGGCATGGTGGCTCACGCCTATAATCCCAGCACTTTGGAAGGCCGAGGCAGGTGGATCACTTGAGGTCAGGAGTTCGAGACCAGCCTGGCCAACAAGGTGAAACCCTGTCTCTACTAAAAATACAAAAATTATTTGAGCATGGTGGCCTCCCAACTACTCAGGAGGCTGGGGCAGAAGAATAGCTTGAACCTGGGATGCAGAGGTTGCAGTGAGCTGAGATTGCACCACTGGGGCGACAGAGTGAGAATCTCTCTCTATATATATATATATAATATATATACATATAATATATATAAAATATATATATTATATATTATATATATACCTACTATCTGGGCAAGATTCATTTGTATTCCAAACCTCGGCATCACACAATATACCTTTGTAGCAAACATGCAGATATACTCCCAACTCTAAAATAAGAGCTGAAAAAAAATTACACCTTATAAATATCAAAGTAACTACAATATGATAACACCTCAGGGCTGATGGGGAATGCAGGGAAAATGATATGTCCACATGTGTTACACTAATGGAAGTGTAAAAGGTTATAGACTTTTGGAAGCTATTGACAATATATATCAAAAGTTAAAAATGCATTGTCTGACCTATGGATCCAACTCATAGATATCCAACAAAATGATACAGGTACAAGGATATTTATCATGGTACTATCTACAGTAGCAAAAGAATACAAACAAGGTAATTGCCCATTATTAGAGAACAGTTGAATAAATTGTCGTATCTGACACATTGGAATTTTAATATTGTACAATCATTGAAATAGATCTTAGCTGTACAAAAATTGGCTTGGGGGGATTTTCACAATCTACTGTTAGGAAAGCAAAGCAGCCAGGCGTGGTGGCTCACACCTGTAATCCCAGCACACTGGGAAGCCAAGGCAGGATAGCTTGAGCCCAGGAGCTTGAGACCAGCCTGGGCAAAAAAATGTTTAAGAAAATATAGTCCAGCTACTTGGGAAGCTGAGGTAAGATCACTTGGATCCAGAAGGTTATGACTGCAATGATCTGTGATCACGCCACTGCACTCCTGCCTGGATGACAGAGCGAACACCTGTCCCTAAAATAAAAGGAAAAAAAAAAAAAAAACAAAGAAAAGCAACATGCAGAGATGAATATACTGATGGTTCCAATTTGTAATATATATTGTACAGCTGGGCACGGTGGCTCACGCCTGTAATCCCAGCACTTTGGGAGGCAGAGGTGGGTGGATCGCCTGAGGTCAGGAGCTCGAGACTAGCCTGACCAACATAGCGAAACCTCGTCTCTACTAAAAATACAAAAAAATTAGCTGGGTGTGGTAGCGGGCGCCTGTAATCCCAGCTACTTGGGAGGCTGAGGCAGGAGAATCACTTGAACCCAAGGGACAGAGGTTGCAATGAGCAGAGATTGCGCCATTGCACTCCAGCCTGTGCAATAAGAGCAAGACTCCGTCTCAAAAATAATAATATATACTGTTTAAATAGAAAGCAAATTATAACTATATATATGTATCTGTACATATGTGCATATAATTATAAACATCGAGAAATGCAGAAAGAGCACATGTGCTAGGATGTAACGCTGATACCCCAGGGAGGAGAGGGATGAGAGGGCATGCTCAGGTGACAGAGGAAATGCAAAGAAACCAGATCCTATAAATCAAGGGGTCCTTAAAACAGCATGTATGAAGTTAACTCATTTATAGTTTTCTATGTATATATCCATAAAGAAATAAGTAAAACTAATCTAAAACGTTAATAGCTATTTAAAAGTAGTGGCTTTTCAAGTGGTTTACTTTTTTCTTCCTTATGCAAATAATCTATTATTGATGTAACTAACTTGATGTACAAGCACCGCTGTAAGAAAAACACACACATTCTAACATAACATGTATTTGGTTGCAAGAAAAAAAAAACCAAGTCATATTGCCTTCAACAAAAAAAGGAATTTATTGGCTCACACAAGTGAAAGTTGAGAAACAGATCTCACTCACTTCAGGTCCAGTTTGATCCAGAGGTTCCCAAGGGCTCCAATAGACTCGCTCTCATTCTCCTGGTACTGCTTCAGGTTGGTTCCTTTATATTAGAAAAATGAGCTGCAGCAAGTTCAGAATGTGACTCCTCCCAGCACACTATCTCCAAGAAGCTGTCTTCAATAGCTCCTCAAAAAGCCTGGGCAAACATCTTTATCTCAGTAGTCTGATCTGCGTCAGGTGCCTACCCCTGAACCACTGCTACTGGGGAAGTGGGGCACTGCTTAAAGGTAACTGAGCTAATCTAGAAAGCTGAGGGTGTGACAATACCATCCAAACCACATGCATGATTATTTGCAGGGGTGGGGGCAGGGGGTGGTACGGTGAGAGGAGGAGGTAGGCGCTGGATTGCGCAGTCACACACATACCCAATAAAATATTAAAAGTACTCAAGCTCACTAGTAATAAAAGAAACACAAATAAAACTACATAATTTGTTGCTTCTCCAGTTGAAGAAAAAGAAAAAGAAAAAAAAAAGAAAGAACCTGCATGTGTATGAGAAATATGTAAAGGGGGCAAGACTGAGAACAGGCACTCACACAACTGTTCAAAGTATGTGTGTATGTGCTTGCATACATGGAACAGCTTTAATTAAGGGGCACTTAAGCAAACTTTATACCTCAATCAGAAACATAATTGATTCCTAAATATGAAACAATAAGCTAGCAACAAACAGTAAGAAGTAAAGCCCCATCATAGTAGTCCTCCAGAATGATAGATGTTCCCATTTGCGGAGAGGAAAAAAAAAAAAGACTTGGGTGATTCTATATTCCTTAGCTCCTAGTCTTGACTTAGCCTATTTATTCTCTTGTTTCAACATTTTAGGCAAAACCCAGGGTGAAGTCATATAGTTGAGTATACCGGGCAGGACTGGAGTCAGAACAATGGCTCCTGAAAACTGAATAACGTTTTTACCCCATGCCTAACTAGAGAAATACAGGAAAGACAAAACACTTCCTAAGTATTACTCATGAAATGTACTCCCAAGGAATATATAATACTTGACTATGGAGAGGATCTCTGATCTATAAAACCTGAAGAATTGTTGTTCATCTGAAAAAAATACACAGAAAAAAATACATATTGTTGTACTTAAAGATACTATAAATATGAGTTAAGTCTGTGTCAACTCACAGGCAGAACAAGTACTAGCATAATAATTTTTTTATGAGCTATGGCGGTAGTCCCACCCTTAGTAAAGAATTACGTCTATTTCTTGAATATGCAAACTACGATAAATCAAAATCAAGTCTATCTCTACAACATTCAACTAGAATGTCAACACCAAGTATGAGTTTGTGGATGGCAATCAAATACATGAAATCAAAACATCCCCCTCAGATTTCAATTTTGAGCAAGTGACTATTTCCATACTTTATTTCCATTTTCACACAGGAAGTGAAGGTATCGTAAGTCCCCTAACTTTGTACCTTTTCTAAGTCAGGATTTTCACTCTGAACACGTAGAAGAACTAAAACCACCTACTCCACTACCTTAACTGTTATGTTACATGACTCATGAAGTAGGTTTACATCATGGGATTTACTCTATAACAAGAAAGTCTGAAATACTTCTATTACATACAACAAAAGAGTGACAAAGAAATAGTGGAACTGCCTTAACTCGTGTTACAAACAGCTGGTAACTACCCATTGTAAAAGGAGTGATGGTGAAGAGTATGGGCTCAGGAGTAAAAATGCCATGACTGGAATCCACCTCAATGACTGAGTAGCTATGTCATCTTTGGATGTTAACTAACACACCTACACTTTATTGTCCTCATCTTTAAAATGGGCATAATAGGAGTACTAATCTCTTAAGGTTGCTGTGAGGTTTAATAAGATAATTTAGCACTTAGAACGGTACCTGGCACCAAGGAAGCTTTCAATAAATGTTAACTATTACTCAAAAATTGAATAGTTCTTTATTTGTGTGGGTCAATCTCAGTAGTCCTAGAACTCAAAATACTGTATTCTAATTGTTAATTTGTACCATCTGCAAAAGACCCTTTAAGACTGCTTCAATGATTCTGAAAAGAATTAACAAAACCCTGTTACATAGGTGCCTGGCTTTGGATACTATAATTGTTTCACTTACAAAACCTCCACTACAAAACACTAAGCTTGCAACATAAAAGTAAAATGAAAGCCACATAATATAATTTGAATAACACAGTAAAAATATCCTTCAGCTGATTAGAGTAATGGGAAATGTATATACTTCCTGCACAAATGCATCTAGGGAAAGCAGGCTATATTTATTCAAGAACTAGAAAAAGGTTACAATATAAATCTATCAAACAAAATTCATTTTTGTTATATTCAAGTAATTCGTATGTATTCAAATTTAGACCAAATCAAGACAACAATCTAATACACAGATTATTATACAGCTCAAGGAGCAAAAAACCATAAACATAAAAGTCTTATTAATAGAGACTACATAAACACACAAATCTCAAGTTTTAATGTAACATGAGCAAATCGCAAGTATATGTGTTAGTGTTCTTTCTCCAAATTTCTAGTAGTAAATATTGTGTATTTAGCAAAAGCATACAGAATGTATAAAACCTTCAACCACATGTAATATAGACTAAGAAGTGTAAAATCAAGTAGAATGTGAGGTTTTTATATGTGAAGATGTACAATTCAGAAAGAACCCAACACGAAATAAATTCATTAACAAACATATTGCAAAGGTGGTCACTCACAAAAATGCTTATCATTTGCAATTGTATACAGAGAACAAACTGCCCAGAAATTAAGTACTATACCAACCAATCTTAAAGGACAAATAACTTATTTGGGGAGTTAAAATAGAGGAGATCAATGTAAATTAAATAACAAATGAGTGAGAAAATATACAGTATACAATAGCAAGAGGTGAGAAAACTGAATACTGTGAAAAAGATTTATTAATCTGTACCAGTTGGTTTTGATAAACTATTGGTTACTTGTTACAGTAAATTGTCAAAATTTTCATTGTGACAGTATTTTCCCTCACACATCAGAACCTAGAAGCAATATGCCTTTTTTTTCCCCACCCCTCAAAACACAGAAATAGGTTTTAGAATACCAACCAGCCATTATGGAAGCCATAAGATACAGATATTCATCAACATTACACAAGCTACAATTGAGGCACCTGGACAAACACTACCAACATTTACGGGGGGAAAAAAAAAGGTTGGTTTTAAAAGTGGTTAGTACTACGAGTTACAATAAACACACTATTAATGTCCTCCTGAAACCAAAACGGGCGAAAACCTTATTGCTATTCTGCCAAACACCATATAACTAAAAATTGAGCCATGAATCCAATATGCATATCACAGGATTAAAACTCCAGTTAAGCAACTGAGCTAATCATTGAAGTAAGTTAAAAATACCAAGTTTCTTTAAGCTATCAGTGCTGTTTAGAAGCATCATCCGAACAAATAAGAGATTTAGTTATAAATTGGCCTGGGCTACATTCTGTAATGAAAATTTTGCTTAGTACTAAAAAAGAATCTCAAACATCCTAGAAAAGTTGTGGAATCATGCTCTTTATTATTCCTGAAAGAAAATTTGCCATGTTTGATGATACCTCTACTCTTCCCTGTGGTTCTAGGAGTTCTACATACCAAGTAATTCAGAAATTAATAGGAGTATTTAAGCAAAAAGAATACCAAAAGCAGACTTTGTATCAACATATAGTAGATAGATGGATTTTTTTTAATTACATGATAAATGTAAATCATAAAATTGAATGTACTTATAAAGGTACACCTATTTTGTGCTACATAAAAAACCGCAGACTGCAAACTGTGCATGCTTACCATAACATTTTACCTGGGGCCGATGAGTGGGATTTCTTGCAAATATTCACTGCTATGATATAAAATAACTATGTGCAAACTGCAAGGTCCCTAAAATAGCAGTTAAAGAGTTTATATACAGAAAGATGTAACTATCTGATCAAATATGCAAGAGACGGAATTTCCCAGAGTTTATAACACAGAACAATAACCACCACAGGCTCCTCCTCCTTGGCCTTCTTCCCTGTGTGACAGTTTGACTCCTTTATTCTGGTTCTCACTTTCCCACAGTCCAGGGGTCTGAATGATCTTTTCAACAAGTTCTTCAAAGGCACATTGTACACCATCACAGGTTTTTGCACTTGCCTCTGAAATGCAAGGAAAAATGTCATTCGTAGTATATCCCTTTCTGGCCATATCCTCATGTTTTTCTGGTAAACTATCAGAGCATAAATATCACCCTGCAATATATTAAGATCCAAAACAGCAATTTTTCCCCACAGGTCAATACTTAGTGAATTTCCAACTCTCAAAATTGAGCTACTTAAATTTTATCCCTAAGAATATTAGTATATAAATTTATACCAAAAAAAAAAAAAAATGCTGGTTTATAATCTTAAAACTGCGATAGAATTAAAATTTGTAAAGCCCTACTACTTAAATAGCATGTGAAAGTTTTTTTCCTTAAGCTTTCAGTTAATTCTTAAAACTAGCTCCCAAGGCAGAAATATGGAAATTCATGCACGTTAAAAAATTAACTTGATTATTCTGTACCTTCCACCAAGCAGCTCCAGGTAGCTGCATAAAATGACAAACCACCATGAACACTGGTCCCACTCTAAATGTTTGCTCATGACACTCAACTGGACACTCAGCATTGCTTCGAACCCTATATTTCCTTAGTGATGACCTTTCTCACTGTCTGAGATGACTACTTTATTCTTTCCTCTCAACACTCTTTCGCAGCTAATAATCTAGCTAGCATTATGGTGAGAAAATCAGAAGCAATATGGCAAGAACTACCTCATTGTCCCACGAATAAATTTACCAAGCTACCTATGTATGTGTCCTCACGCTCTGCCTTACCTCCTGTGAGAATGAATGAGCTATCCCTGCTGCCTCCAAGCCATCACCTTCTCTTGTTCCTGGAGTCCCATCCCTTCTCATTTACTGAAGGATCAAACACTCTCTCTCTATTGGATCATACCAATCAGACCAAAAGTCTGCCAAATTATCTTCCATCTTATTAAAAAACAAACTTGCTGTCTAGGCCATATATCCTTCTTGTAGCCACCCATTTCTCTACTCTCTTTGAAAGCTCTTCTAAAGAGTTACCCACATAAGCTCCTCCCACCTTCTTATCTCACATTCTTTCTTCAAACTATTCTAATTAGGCTTTTGTTCCCACCACTCCACTAAAATCATTCTTTTCCAAGACTACCAACAATCTTTATCCTGTCAAATTCAACATACTAATTATATTTGACATCTTTGGTATGTGATACTGCTAATCATTTCTTCTTTTAAATAAGCTGTTCCCTTGACTTCCAGGATTCTGAACATGCCTGGAAACCCTCTTATCTCACTGGCATGTCATGCACAGCCTTATTTGCTGGCACTTCCTCTTTCTGCTGATTTCTAGTTGCTGGAATCCCCCAGGATTCAATCTTTTTTTGTTTTGTTTTTGAGACAGTGTCTCACTCTGTTACCTAGGCTGGAGTGCAGCAGCATGATCATAGCTCCACTGCAGCCCTGACCTCCCAGGCCCAAGTGATCCTCCCACCTGAGCCTCCAGAACAGCTGGAATCACAGGCACTTGCCACCACACACAACTAATTTTATTTGGAGATGAGGTCTCATTATATTGCCCAGGTTTCTTCAGACCTTTTCTATCCATATTCTTTCCTGAAGTCACCATTCTAATAACATGACCTTAAATGCCCCCTAAATGCCAATGACCAGCACTTATACCAGTTATCTGAAAAATGTCTCATTCTTATGTCAAAACGAAATTCTTGATTCCTCATTTCCCTACACTAAACCTACTCTTATTGCAATCTTTCACATCCCAGTTACTGGCACACAATTTACCTCACTGCACATGCCAAAAACCTGGAGTTATCTCTGACTGCTCTCTTTTCTTGTCCTACATACTAAATCTACCTACAAATCCTATCAGCTGTACCTTCACTGTACCTCCCAGAACTGCCCATTTTCCACCAACCTCTACTACTACACAGTCAAACCACTGCTTCCTTCATCTGGGCCACTGCAAGAGAAGAAATAGTCTCTAGCTTGTTTCCCCTAGTCCATTTTCTTTACAACAGGATCTTTTTACAAAGTATCAGGTCACACCACTGCTTCCCTGCTTTCCACCACAATTAGAACGTAATCCACCTCCTCACCATTTGAATGGCATCTTTCCATCAGCCTTCCCCTCAACACACACATGCTTTCTTCCTGTTCCTTTAACACACTAGCCTGGTTCCTACCTCAGGAAATATTCGCTCTTCTCTCAGCCTGAGACCTCCCTCTAGACTAGGCGTGTCCAGTCTTTTGGCTTCTCTGGGCCACAGTGGAAAAAGAAAAGCTCCCCAGGTTATTCTGTTTTTGTGTTTTGGTTTTTTCTGGGTTGTTTTTTTTTTTTTTTTTGAGACAGAGTTTTGCTCTGTTGCCAGGTGCCAGGCTGTAGCACAGTGGCACAATCTTGGCTCGCTGCAATCTCCGCCTCCTGGGTTCAAGCAATTCTCCTGCCTTAGCCTCCCTAGTAGCTGGGACTACAGGCGCACGCCACCATGCCCAGTTAATTTTTGTATTTTTTAGTAGAGATGGGGTTTCACCATGTTGGCCAGGATGGTCTCGATCTCTTAACCTTGTGATCCGCCCACCTCAGCCTCCCAAAGTGCTGGGATTACAGGTGTGAGCCACCGCGCCCGGCCTCCCCTCGTTATTCTGATATAGCTCATCCAATTTTCTAGATCAGGGGTTGGCAAACTCTTTCTGTAAAGGGCTAGATAGTAAATATTTAGGCTTTGTGGGCCATATGGCCTCTGTTCTAACTACTAAACTCTGTCATATGGCACAAAAGCAGCCACAAACAACATGTAAATGCATGAACATGGCTGTGTACCAATACAAATGGTGGGGCCAGATTTGGACCAGGCTGTAGTTTGGCAACCCTTGCTGGACCATGTTTCTCAAAAATTAATGTGCATCCAAACCATAGGAAGAGCTTGTTAAAACGCAGATTCTAATTCAGAAAATCTGGGGTAGGGCCTGAGCTGAAGCACTGCTAACAAGCTCCCAGGTGGTGCTGATGATATTGGCATATGGACCAGCAAGGCACAACTTTAGCACTGGGTGCCAAACTTTACTGAATGCCATTATATCCTGAGATAAATGATTTGACTGTTTTTTATATGATTTCACATAATATGATCATACATTTTACAGAAATAAGAATAAAGAACCTTGTTACATAGTTAAGATTTTGTAGCACAAGGCAACTATGAACAATACTATAAATACATTTTAAGGTTCATAAAGAAATAAACTTGGCAAAAACTCCATTTAAAAATTCCTCATTAATAATGAAAGTATAGATATTCATTCACACACCTACCTATAAACAACATGGAATGCTTTCGTGCAAATTTCAGGCCTTCATTTCTATCGACTTCACGATTTTCCTAAAAGATAAATGCAATGATTAAGAAAGGCTACCAAAATACAGAACCAAAAGACCAAGTGTCTGCCTTCTTACCTTATCAATTTTATTTCCAACTAGCATGTTTACTATGTCATTTCTTGTACAGTATGTTTCCAATTCATTTAACCAGTTATCCAGTTTAACAAATGTGTCTCTTCTTGTGACATCATAAACTGAAATAAAAGGAGTCATAATAAGCATTAAAGGTAAGAAGCAGTGGCATGTTTCTGATACGTAGCTAGGAGTTAGCATTAGTAAGCAATATAGGCAAGTCTGTTTTTTATTGTGTTCAATGATTAATAGTGTCTACTGATCCAAATGGAAGAAACAAGTGTTTTTTTTTTAAGCATACACACACATTTCAATCCTATTAATACATACTGTCACAGAAATGAAATTATATCCTGTGTAATATGTGAAAACTCATTTAATACCCATTAAAGCAAAACACCAGCTGTTCCCATTCATAACGATGAATGAGGTCTATCCAAAAACCAGAGTGTTTAAGATTCAAATTTGTGGCAAAATATTAAAAAAAATTATGAATGTAAACATCTATGACCCCATTAATTTGTTTCTTACAAGAACCAGAATTTACAGCTTCGAAAAAATTACAGTACAGTTAGTGGATGGGTTCCTAATGTTCTTCCTATTATCACTTTCATCTTACGTCATTGTGCATTATAATAAAGAGCTTATTAAAGTGTTTTCTAAACTCAAGAGATGCTGAACCTACAGGCTAAGTGTCACTATCAAGCCACAATATTAAGAGAATTCTACCTATTAATACAATTGATCAATACTCACTTCAAACAGCTTTCCAGGAATATCAAGAACAAGCACTTTTCAAAAAATTACACTGAGAATCCACATTTGGTTTCTAAATTTTGTTTGATTATAAATCAGTAGTGTTAAGTGCTTAGTGATATTTTTAGGACTAATAAAGCAGACTCTACTAAGCAACAAAAACTTTTCCTCCTTTATAAACTGTAGCAAATATTAACATGCTGATGACTGAAGCCCAGGTTCTGTAATATTTCAAGGCAGTCCAACATATGCTAATTGATCTTCGATTATGTTCTCATTGACATGTGCTTTCAAACCAAATAAATCAGTCTTGTCTTTATTTTTTAAGTGCTAAACAAAAGACTAAAATCAAAAGTTTTAATATTCATTAATATTACATGAAGTTAATACAACTGCAAGGTACATAAAAGTAGCTCTAACGAGAAGTAAAACAAAAATGTATTAACTTTCACATACTAGGACAATCAGAAACTCCAATAAATATTTTTAAATAGTACATTAATTAAAGCAAACACTTACCTAATATAACACCCTGTGCACCTCTGTAATAGCTGGGAGTTAATGTTCTAAACCTCTCTTGACCAGCAGTATCCTAAAAATGATCATTATTAGTAAATAAAGTATAAATAATAGACCTTCAATATACTAGTTTAAGAGCAGAAAGTAAAACAGCATTACTAAAAGTAGTATTAATGCATGAGCTCATTAAAAAATGGGAATTTAAATAAGATGTGCTCACTGACTGATAAGTGTCACAAAATAAAATTATTTATAAATACTGACCTCTAGAGAAATGCAACAATGTGAAGGTTTTCTGCCATTTTGAATTTAAGATTTTTATCACACCTGAAACGAAAGCCATGTTTCTAAACTTCAGCTGCACAATGAAATTTTCTGGGAATCATGAGTCTAACCTCCAAAAAATTCCTGTTCAATTGGTCTAAGGTAATGACAGTTATTTAATTAAAAAAAAAAAAAAAAAACTTTCCAGGTGCTTTTCATATAGAATCAAGGCTAAAAACCACTGATTTACTGATTTGAAGAGAACTATGGGAACGTCTTATTTTCGGTAACGGATTTTTAGGTTGGGCTCTTTTAAGTGTTTTCTATGTATCTCCTTTTGAGAAAATGCATATAACCAAGCCACTCTTTATTACATGTTGTCTCTGACTCAAATTAGGGTAAATGAACAATGTACACTAGGTAGAAAATGTAAATCGCATAAAGCAGGGACTCATCTGTTTAATCACCAGTTTAACTATCAGGCCGAGAGCAATTCTTGAAAAAAGATAGTTGCTCAGAATTTGTTGAGTAAAAATAATAATAATAATAATAATAATGAATCTATTTAACAAGACTTTACTTCCAGGCCCAATTCCTTCTCTCTCTCTATTGTCTTTCTACCGTCCCTAGAATATGGCTTCAAGGTACCTAAGATTATACAAAGCAGGTCAGCCCACCACCTGTTTTATTAAATAAAGTTTTACTGAAACACAGTAGGCCTATTTGCTTACGTATTGCCATATGGGCCACTTCAGGGCTGGACTAAATTCTATCTGGCCCTTTAAGAAAAAGTTTTCAGTCTGCCAATGTAAAGTAACCTGAAGAAAAGTAAAAGTAAAAAATGTATCAACCCTCAGCTACCAGTCCCACTGCTGGAAGTGAGAGTTTGCTATGGGACAAGCAGAAGCTCCTCTAGATGATATAAAAAGTGTTAGAATAACCTCTAAGAGGTTTATAAGATTGCAGAGGAATTTAAACCGGCAATGAGGGGCTTGGCTTTAGCAAGATACTAGGGAGTATCCGTGGTCCTTTATAACCCCAAAAGAGAAACTTAAGAGGAAAGTAACTTCTCAACGTAAATCACTTTGAACATTCACCACTCTTCCACAGACATACTTACATAAATCTGAATGCCATTCCTTCCAGATTCTCACCACCACAGAAACTAATCCCCACCCTGCCATGTTTAAGTGAAATAGTAACATTTAAAGTAAATGTTCTAAACAAATAAATGTATAAAATAAATGGTTTTTCTCTTTACAAAATTCTCTCTGCCTTAAAGTTTCTTACAAAACCTGCCTTGGATTTTAAAAGTATTCAACTTGCATATTTACTCACCTTTTCAAAAACAATATTATAAATTAAAAGCTGCTTAAAGCAAAGTGAACTTGCTATCTACCTAAAGCAGATTATAATTTTGATAATATGAGACAAGTCAATACAGTAGTTTGATAATCATTAATGAAAAAGCACATGGATAACCAGTGATCTTTTTTGATCACTATGCTCAAGTAATCAAAACCCAAATTTGCAGGAAAAAAAAAGAAGCAACTAGAAGCTAAATGATATAACTACTATGTATACCATAGTAAAATTATTACTATGTGTATCAGTGAAAGTGTCACCACTTTTCCTACCACCACTTTTAGGAAGCAATTGATAACACATACAAGAAACTAGAAATGCTCTTCATAGCCTTGCACTAGTACCTACTTCAGAAAATCTTAATTCATACTCAATAAAAATGTATAGTTTAAAATGACAAATCATTATGAGACTGTGTCCTAGCTATTTGCTTACATGCAAAAAATGACAAATTAGCAACATTCAAATTATTCAGTATCCAGATACATTACAACTTTTAGAATTGCACCACGTTAATAAGCATTTAACTTTTAGTAGTACAGACTATCTTTTTTTGAGAGAAAAAAAAGAAGGAAAAGTCATTATTTAAAAGACAAAACTCAGTTTTGGAACAGTGAATTTGGAAATTTAAGAAATATCTATTTTTCCATACATGTAATACTGTTCCATTTTCATAACAAATAGCTTGGGGCAAGCATTTTAGCCCCAAGACTTTGTGATAACAGGAAAAAAGTTTATTCTATTTGCATAAGGAAACTGTATCCATAACTTCCAAAGCTGGCAGAAAACAAGTGAACATGAACTTTGTTCTCTCTGGTCTTCATTGAGATCAACTTCAAAAACTGCCTTAATGAAACACAACATAAAAATCAGAACCGCAATTCCAGTTAAAATATCCATAAATCCTAATGTTTTAAAAGTAAAGACCATAGCAAGAAAGTTTTAATGTTGAAATATTACACTTGACTTTGACACTTTACTTGTGAATATTAGTAATTAGGCCAAATGTTTAGAGCCTTGTCATTTATGGATTCAATTATAAAAATGTTTAAATAGGTGTTATAATTTAGAAGGCGGAGGGAACTTGTGCAATAGCATTGGATCAGGATTTATAATAACTATAAAGTGTATATGCTTAAATAGAGGTTCGATTTTTGGTTGTGTTTGTTTTCAAAACAGTAATATGTGGTAGGTATAACATCTTTGTAAGATAAAAGCAGCACAGCTTTTTGTCTCTGTCCTGTGCTTTTATTTTCTGATGGGGAAAGAAAAGAAGAAATTACAAAAGATATATAGAAAAATTCAGGGATAGGAAAGATCTAGAAAAGCTTAATAATATAGCAAAAGGCAGTAGAAGGAAACAACCTCTCAGATGCCATTTAGGTCATGATGAGTATGCATTTTCAGGAGGCAAGAGGGGCAGGGCTATGTTTAATTATTCTATTTCATCCTAAAAGAAGCTTCCAAGTAGGAGAGAAACTCATTTTATAAATAAAACTATAGAAGAATTAGGCAACTATGGATTCATATATTTCTAATAGAGTAGAAGGGCCTTCCTAAATACAACATTACACCCAAATGTCATGATAAAAACAGCTGATCCTACCATATAAACATTAAAACCTTGGTATGACAAGAACACCCTTTACCTCCTCTTCACCTCTCCACCCCCATTATTCATCCTTAAAAATATTTGAAGGTACATGACAAACTGGAAAAAAAAATCTGTAGCATACGGCAGAGTTAGTATTACACACAAACAAGAACACAAACGTATATTCAACTTAAACATGATTTTAAAGGCAAATGACAGATTAGAAAATTGTACATGACAAACACCTAATACTTTTTTTTTCACTTGCCAACAGCATGAAGACCTAATACTTTTATCATATAAAGACTTTAATGATGAAAAAGATGAATGCTAATATATAAAGTGGGTAAAATACGTAAAAAGAAAATTTATTTTTTTAAATGATCAATTGAACAGGCAAAAATCTCTTATCAAAAGAAATGCAAATTTAAGTAAAACAGCATCACTCAGAGGCAAAAACAGAAAGAATGGTAACAATATAGATTAGCATGTGGAAGAATGAATGAATATGAAAATATAATTGGTGGTAGTACAAACTGAAAAAAAGGCTTTTTGGTATAGATTAATGTTAGTACTTCATATTCATTTCTACTTCCAACTACACATTCTAAAGTAACTGGACAAGTACACACGGAAATATAAATCAGGATGCTCAAGGAGCTCTAATTTTTGTGAAAAGCTGGAAAAAATGTAAGTATTTCTCACTGAAAGTTGACTAAATTAAAGCACAGCTATGAAATAGAATACTACGTGGCCATATAAATGGATATAACACACACTGTGTGTGGGGGCCAAGAGGAAGGCAGGAAGGACAAACAGGTTTAAAAATGTAAGATATAATCCCTTTCTTTTGGAAAACTGCACATACCCGTATGTGTAGTGGTATGTATACACATCCCTAGATACTTTAAAGAATGCTCACTGAAATGTATTCAGTGGTATACATTTATGGACGGTCTTCTCTACTAATGTCTTATTGTCTCAATTATCGACTCTGTATTATTCTTACCCTGTATTATTCTTACAAACCTCTCGTCTTTAAAAAACATTTATAGGTCTACGGTAAAGGCGTCTCTTCAATAATACCTGCCAACCTTTTTGTTAGGCAAAAACTAGAAAGTAAATTTAAAACAAAACTATAAGAGAAAAGCATTAATGCAACCAGCAACTCTCAGAACCTACATTTATCTATATGTTTCACAAAACAGCAGTAAGCGGGGAAAGGGATAATAAATTAACCATGAAAAGCATATGGAAATCAGGCCCCCACTTTAGGACAGAAAAAGGCAGCATTCTTACATCGTTCAACATATGTTACCATAGTCTAGTCCAATGTTTTCCAAATAGTTTTGTTAGATATTACTGTTCTGATTGATATTAAATATATTTGGGGGAAAGAGCCAAACAGGCTAACAAATTTAAAGTACTGTACATTAGGCAAAACTGACAAAAACATTAAACACACTTACATAGTTATTTGTTATCTGGGGATAAATGTGTATTAGAAACAGTGTGCCATTCAGAGAATGCCAAGAAAATGAATGACATCATACAATGCATGAACACTTGTTGTTTTCAATCTGTGACGGACGTACAAACAGCATTTACCACTTAACCACCATGTGGAAGTATGCCTCGATTTGAAGACTGCTGATCAGTTCCAATTTGATTTCTTATGTTATAAACATATATCTTTAATCAAACTAAAAGTGGAAATTAGATATACGAAACAGTATATATTTAGAATATATGTATATATATTACCGATCACATTTAGACAGATACAGATATAGACAGATTGGTATGTAGGTGGGTAAACAGATTGAGGAAAGGGAGACATAAAGAGACAAACATACACACTGAGCATCTTGGATATTTTTGACAGTTAATGCTACCTTATTTGGCACTAGCATGAGGAGATCTAGCTAGCACAGCAATGGGGATCAGAATGGCTGGATTCACAGGAAAAAGAAAAGAAGCCAATAAGGAAAAATGAGGCATTAAAAATAAACCCAAAGTTTGAAACCTCAAATTTTACAAATATTTATACTAACAAACAAAAATAAAATTTTTTCCTAAATATCACATCATTCCTCCTCCACATAACAATTGTCTTTAGTGTTAGTTCAGTCTAAATGGTCTTTTTAACATATCCAATTATGATTCTCTTTGGCAGATGGGATGATTTTTTTAATATTTTGTTCTGTTTTGAAATATTCGTAAAGAATTACACATTTTAAATTTAAACAAAACATAGCTGGTTAATTACTCAATAAGATATACCTCTTTGTTTTTCCTTTAGTCAGTATCAAATCTCCCAAAAGTTATTTAATATAAATTGTTCATTAACCAAGTCTAGAACACTACACAAATCAATTTCTGTGTCCCTAAAAAGTAAAGTTTAATGTTTTAAAAACACATTTTAAAAACTCTTACCCATATTGCAAGTTTAGCCTTATTTCCATCCACTGAAATTGTTTTCACCTTAAAGTCAACACCTTAAAGAAACAAAAATTTGGATGAGTCTCCCAGCAAAACAGACTTTTAAACTCCATTACCAAAAAAAACAGAAAACAGAAAAGTCACCTTGACCAAATGCCCAATTAACACCCCAAATTCTTAGAATTCTGGATGTGGAGATAAAAAGCATCATTAAAATCCAGGATCTTAGGATTTAATCAGGATAAATAAAAATCGAATGCTTGCAGAATTAACTCACTCACCTACCTTCCATTCTTCCAAAAAGGAAAAATAAAATTCAAATTAAGGTGATAACTCACTATACATGTTACAAGTCAAGAGCTGCAATTACAGTGCTCACATAAAGAGGACTATCCATGGCTGACTATGGATCATGGCAGATTCCAGGGGCTACCTAAGCATCCACATGCTATTGTTAAGAGTGCTATCCACTGCCAGCCAACCACTAACTGAGATCTTGAGTGTAAGCAGCTTGGAGAACTGGTAAAAATATAAGGGCCACTCATTCTTCGTCTTATAATCTCTTTATTTTGTTTTTATCCTAAAAAAAATACTATTTTTATATAATAACCTAATCAATGATAACTTGCTACAGCACAATTTTAATAAAAGAATTTATACATAAAAACATTTATACACAATCATCTAAGAATTTTCATAAGTGAAAGAAAGGAGTGCCCACAGTTCTATGAAAAGCTTCTATAAGTACTAATTTATGTAAAGAAAAAAGTTTCATAAGAAGTCACACGAGTCTTTATTACAGCAGCCAAAAAAGAAACCTCTCCCTTTCCAGGAAAAAGAGTTGACATATGCCATCTGGCTTAAATGAACAGCAACTGCGCACATGTCTTTAAAGACTATCAAAAACATAATGTGCAGTCTACCCCACTGGCCAGAGGGAAAACATTAGCTCAAGAAGCTTGGAAAGAAACTTTCAAAAGTTCTTATTAGCTTGTCACAATTAATTCAGAACAGCCCCAACTAAGATGAACAGCACCCTTACATACTAAATGCTTAATAGAACACCTGTCACCAATATGGAAATATATTCGTAATTCTTGGAAGACTTGTGGTGATCCATTACCTATACAAATTCGGTAATAAAAATGCATATTCAAAATGTGCACAATGCCAGGTCTTTCTGTATGCCAAATATTTTTTAAGTTTGGTGTTTTGAGCTGGGGTGATAAAGGAGTTGATAAAGCCTAGAATGCTGGGCAACCATTCGTAAAAGGACAGTGCTGATTACATAGCCCACAAAAAACCTAAGTATAAAATTTCTTCACAGCCAAACAGACAAAAAATCCCACATACTAAGTAATCTTGTATTTACCAAGTCCAGATAAAGAAGTTACTGTACCATTTTAAAAGTGGAACCATCTACATAAACAACATGAAATTATCTACATTTTCTTCCTATTGCAAAAAAAAAAAAAAAAAAAAAGAAAGGCACAAACCCTGGGAAAATTCATAGAGGAAAATGGTTGTGACTTGGTGCAGGTACTAAATGACAGCTACTAGCAGACATTACACAGAGATGGCCTCTGTCATGCACACTCCACAGTTAAATTCTCAAGGTTTTTCAGGGAGTATATAAAGAATTGCTTTTTCTTCTTAATAATCCCAGATATATGTTAAAGAGCAGACAAGCATCTTTTCTAACTATTAGCTAAATTGTTTACCCAAGAAAAGAAACTCACCACTTCGAGAATTCCTCCCATACCCCAACTCCTCCTTCTCTTTTATTAGTTCCTAGTTTTGCATGTTTGTTGACAACAGTCTAATAACTGTCTCTGACATAAGAATAATTTGCATGTGAATAACTAACAATGTTTCTAAGTTATGCTTTTGACATATTATATCTGAAACTTACCAATAACATCCACAAGACACACTCACCACTACAGTCCTACCATTAAAGCCAACAGACACAGGTAGCCTGAAGGTGTACCTCATCTCAATCCAGACCCCTGAAGTCCCCAGTCATCTTCTCTTGGTTCCTCTGTTGAATCTCACATGCAGCAGCAATTGAGCTCTTCAGATCTCACATGCTAAAACTGCTTCTTAATCCTGCCTGGTTCTTCTCTTTTTTAAGTGGCTAATAATTTGTCTTAACTGGTAGCAGCAGTGGGAGTCTTTCTATGAGATTTGATTTTGCCAGTTTCTTACAAAATTTGATTAAACCATCTTTTCAATCTTTCCCTGTGAGTGACAAGGAGCTCGCAACAGAAATAGAAGAACTGCCATTTCAGCTTTTCCTTGTTCATTTGTGTTTGCATTTTTAATATGATCTTTAATCTGGTTTTTTTGCAAGAATCTTTTTTAGGCACACTTGTAAATTTTCATGTTGCACTTACTGCTTATTTCAAAAGCTCTATTAATTATATTATCTAGTTTTAACTAGAATAACCTTCATGAAATAGATCAAAGAAAATATGAACTCAACAATACATATATGTGAATGGGAGACCAGAAAATATCAATGGAAGCAGAAGCTTATGTCCTGTTGAAGAGGAAAAAAAAATTAATCAATAGAAACTGACTCAGAACTGACACAGATGTGACAACTGCACACCACATGTTCAAAAAGTTAAGTAGACATGAGTGACATAAAAAAAGATCAAATAGAACTTTCTTAAGATGAAAAGGCTGGGCACAGTGGCTCACACCTGTAATTCTAACATTTTGTGAGGCTGAGGTGGGAGGATCGCTTGAGGCCAGGAGTTCGAGACCAGCCCTGGCAAAACAGTGAGCCTTCATCTTGACAAAAATAAAAGTTAAAAATCAGCCAGGCATGGTGGCTTGTCCCTGTAGCCCCAGCTTCTCAGGAGGCTGAGGTATGAGGATAGCTTAAGCCTGAAAGATCAAGGCTGCAATGAGCCATAGTTGTGCTACTGCACTCAGCAAGACTGTCTCAAAAAAAAAGGTGAAAATGGCAATGTCTGAGATGAAAAATACACTGAATAGGATCAACAGCAAAGTAGATGCTGCAGAAGAAAACATTAGTGAATGTGATGACACAGCAAAAGAAACTACCCAAGAGGATGCAGAAAGAAAAGATTCAAAAAAAAAAATGAGAGAGCATCAATCATCTATGGGACAACTTCAAGCAGCCTAATATGCAAACAATGGAGTTGATGAAAAAGAAGAGAGAAGAAAGGCAGGGAAATATATCTGAAGAAATAATGGCTGAAAAATTTCAAATTTGATGAAAAATATAAATCCACAGGTCATAAGAGCTCAATAAGCCCTAGCAAAAAAGAAAAAGAAAAGAAAAACTCAGAGAGAGACATCATAATGAAATTGTTCTAAGTATTTTAAAGTAAATGTTTTAAATGAAAAGAAAAACACATCAAAACTTGTAGGACACCATTAAAGCAATACTTACAGGAACATCTATAGCACTAAATGCCCATGTTAGAAAAGTATCTAAAATCAATGACCTAGGCTTCTAAACTAAGACAATAGAAAGAGCGGCAAATTAAACCCAAAGAAGTAGAAGAAAGAAAATAAAGTTCAAACCAGAAATTAAAAACAGAAAAACAATTTTTTTAAAAAAATCAATGAATCCAAAAGTTGGATCAATAAGAAAACCAATAAAACTGATAAACTTCTAGTCAAACTGATCAGGAAAAAGAAGACAAAAATTATCATTATAAAGAATGAAAAATATCACACCATTCATAGCTCGTACAAAGGTTAATGGAATGAGAGAATGTTATGAACAAGTTTATGACAATAAATTTGACAACTAAGATAAAAGGGATAATTTCCTCGAAATATTAAAAGCTACCAGAATTTACTGAAAAAGAAATAGGTAACAAAGAAAATACAGACTATAGATTAAAAAGGAAATGCGAATGGAGTCAAAGCATATTATTATAAAAAATCCCTAAACACATAAAAAGGCAGTAAAGGAAGAATTCAGGAACAAAAACTCTTTAAGCAAATAAATAACAAAATGGCAGAAGTCCTTCCTTATTGGTATATTAAATGCAAACAGAATAAACTCTCCTGTCAAAAGTAGGGTGGCAGAATACTTTTTAAAAACTCAACTACATGCTGTCTATCAGAGAATCGCTTTAGGTCTGGAAATAAATATAGGTTGAGAGTGAAAGGATAGGAAAAGATATTCCATGCAAATAGTAACCAAAAGAGAACAAGGCTGATTATGGTAACATCAGACAAAATAGATTTTAAGTCAAAAGCTGTTAGGAGACTAAAGACAAAATATTTTGATAAAAAGGCCAATTCTCAAGAAGATACAATTATAAAAATATACACCATAGAACAGAAGTCCAATATATATGAAGCAAACACTGATAGAATTAAAGGGAAAAATAGTGCTACAACAGTTGAAGATTCTATTTATTTATTTTCCTAAACACAAGCCCTCCACTGAAAATACTATTTTTATTGCCTGACTGAATTCCAAAACATCTTTCTATTTTACAAATTACATTTTATTTTGATTTCTACAATTACAGTTTTATTACAAAGGATACAATATCTGGACCAGCCAAAAAGAGAGACACGTAAGGATGAGGTCTGGGAGGGTCCAAACACTGAGTCTCCATGCCTCTCCCCACAGAGCCAGAGCATATCACCCTTTCTTTTTTTTAAATCCTCCCATATATTTTATCCTATTTTTTTTTTAATTTCAATAGGTTTTTAGGAACAGGTGGTATGTGTTACATGGGTAAGTTCTTTAGTGGTAATTTCCGAGATTTTGGTGCACCCATCACCCAAGCAGTGTGCAATGTACCCAATGTGCAGTTTTGTATCCCTCACCTCTCTCCCACCTTCCCCCCCAAGTCCCCAAAGTCCACTGTATCATTCTTATGCCTTTGCCTCTTCATAGCTTAGCTCCCACTTATGAATGAGAACTTATGATGTTTGGTTTTCCATTACTGAGTTACTTCACTTAGAATAATGTTCTCCAATTCCAGCCAGTTTGCTGCAAATCTCATTATTTCGCTCCTTTTTATGACTGAGTAGTATTCCATGGTATATATAT